ATAAATTATGGTATTGCCACTTTAAGGGAACATGACATAGTTCTTCAACAGAAGAATGAGGTAGAGCTACATGTAAAATAAAAAGATCCCCCCCTGCTAAATGGGGCTGGGGGGAGTCCTATACGGAGTCGGCAGCTAGTTACGAAAGCATGGAGGACTGTGTGTGTGATGCCCCCAGGCATCCCTCATCTCTGAAAAGACAAACCCAACACTGGTCATTGTTAGTGACTCCAGGCAGAAAAACGAGGGGGCCAGCCACAGGAGGAAGATTCACTTTTCACTAAACGCTCTTACACTGCTTGACTTTTTAGCATGGGTGTAACGAGATTTGTCAAGAGTCCAAAAGTCTGCAAATTTCAATTGTTTAAAGCAAAATCCAGTCTTGCAAGGCAGACAGAGCCCCCACTTCTTGCTGTGGGGGCTTGGCTGAGTTACTTCATGTCTGAGCCTCAGGTGCTGCTTCTGCAAAATGGTGTCATAATGGTAATCACCACTGAGGTCGGTGAGGATTAAATGAAGGGCTAATACTTTAGAGGTATTTAAATTTGAGGTACACATCAATTAATAAATGTCACCTATTAAAATCAGAGTTGCTTATTTATAACAACTAGTTAGTAGTATTTGTCATTCACACAGAGAATAATGCACCAAAGGTGCACTCTGAAAATGCATCTGCGGCGACAAGAGCCACCTATCTTTCTTTCAGCATAAAGGACACATGACAACTCCTATAGGATCTGACCTACACTAAGGAACGGGAGCCTTCCTGGGTCTGCACCTGCTATCAAGCCCCCTCCAGTAAGGTGGGCCATGGAATATGCCAGGACCCCTTGCACTGGGCAGGGATATGGGAGACACTTGCCTGCACCCCACACCAGTTCCACCCACACTCTGAAACACAAGTCAACGCCGGGAGTTCTCCGTTACTACAACCCCACTGTCCTTTCTCAGCTACAACCCCACTGTCCTTTCTCAGCTCAAAGACCTCATTGCCGAGGTCTTTAACATGGGGCACAGCGGGAAGGACACGCAGAGGGACCTTGGGATCTTGCTTGGAAGGCTGATGGGTAACACAAGGGAAGCCCCCTTACTTGTTCCCCCGATTGCCCAGAGTTGGTGGAGCGTAAGAAAGAAAACAGACTTTGTGATTAAATCCAAGTTTGAATCCAGCTCCACAACATACTCAGAGATTCGGGGACCTCTCTGAGCCTCGGTCAACCTATAAAACAAGGATGATATCAACTGCCACAAAGGGTTCTTAGTGCACAATAGGTACTTACGAAATGTGTTTCCGTCTTAGGAAAATGTGCCTCTCCCTAATGAAAGAGCTCCACAGAGATCTCGTACAAATCTTGGACTTGTGAGGAGCGAGGGAAACAAACTCTATCAGGGATGCACCACAGGGCTTTAAGCACAGGAGGCAACATTCACACGCTGGCATCAGAGAAACAAAGAGGGTCTGGTGTGACGGTACCTCCAGTGGTGCCTTCCCACATTGATGCCTACGTGCACCCTGATTGGAAGGACAAACCGCCACCTGTGAAAGCAAGATGTCCAAAAGAAAAAAAAATCAAACCTGAAACTCATCAAGACTCTACAGTTAATGATCAATTCAAAGGAAAGGCAAAGGACAGAGGAACACGGTAAGGATCACCATAGGGTCGCAATCAACAAAATCCTAAACAGGAAAACCTAGAGTTCAAAGGGCCAAGTTTGTCAATAGTGGCAACACAAGGTGGGGAAGGGAGGACTATGGAAGGGAATATACAAATTAAGAGGCTTCAGAGACCTATCACCCAACTGCAACGTATGCACTGCATTAAGACCCTGATTACAGTAGATAAATCAAAAACATTTTTTTCAGATAACTGGAGAAAATTAACCACTGACTGGATATCTGAAGACACTAAGGAATTATCACTGATTTTTCAGGTACGATAATCGTACTGTAAATATCTTTTAGTGATAAATACTCAAATATTTATGTCTGAAATAGTATGATGACTTGGACATGCATCCAAATAATTTGAGCTGGGAAGGGATTGAATTGAGTAGGAATGAATCAAGAATGACCCAGAGCTGATTACTGGGAGAGCTGAGTGACGGGGTTTCATTAAATGATTCTCCCTTTCCCATAGGTTTGCAATTGCCATTTTATTAAAAGTTCGTGAGTAAGCCCGAGGCTGGTAGGGAATATTCACAACGTGCGTAACTGAAAAGATATGTGAAGTACTGTTAGAAATCAGCAAGAAAACACACACACAGCCCAGTAGAAAGTGGACAAAGACTACAAGTCACAGAAGGGGAAGCCAAAATAACCAGGCAGCAAATGTCAAGAAGGCCCACCCCGCTCGTGATCAGAAAAATCCCAGGGAAACCACCTCACACCCAGAAGCATTCGTAGAGACGTTCAAGTGTTGGCAGGAACTCCTACACACTGACAGAGGGATAATCAACAGGTGATAAACAACAACAATAACACGGATCTCAAGGAAACATTTGCGTAGTGGAGGCAGGAAGTGCTAATAAATGGCCACTAAGATAGTAAAGGGAGACAAGCAGAAGCTATCCATCTCCTGATAGAAAACACCACTCCAGCGACAGGCATGTTAGCGGGAAAATTAAACCAACATCCAAGTGCCCAGACCCAAGCGCCAAGTTAAGAAAATAGAGGCAACAGAGGGGCGTGCGGAGTAACACTGTAGAGGTGCGATCTGCGAGTCTCAGGTGGTGACACGACCCGGTCTTCAGCAGACACATGTTAAGGAAAAGAGAGTTGGAGGACTCCATAGATGAACAGAAATATAAGCGAGTGGTTCAATCCAGACACAAAGGGAGCACAACACTGGTTGCAGGGGATGCAGGAGGGAGGAATGGGGCGTCGGGGTAGAGTGGGGCAGAGGTTCAGCTGGGGAAGATGAACACGGTCAGGAGACAGACGGTGGTGTGGGCTGCACGACAACGTGAGTGTACCTAAAGCCACACAACTGCACACGTCAAACTGGCTAACATGGTAAATTTTATGTCGTATTTCACTAAATTCAAACAAGGGTTTTAAGAAGAAGAGAAACATAAAGGACATAACCAATTACAACATGTGGACCTCATGTGGATCCTAATTTTTAAAAAGCTATAAAAAGGTATGGAACAGTAAGAAGTATGAACACTGATATTTGATGGTATAAAGGAACTAATGGTCACACACAGGGGACGATGGTATATTCATGGTTTCCTATTTCTAAGATCTACACGGAGTTGTGTACAGATGAAGTCACACCCGGTATTTGATTCAAATTAATACAGAAGGGAGAAGCAGGTGCAGAACTTCAAACAAGCTGACCTCGACTGAGGACAGTTCTACTTCACAGGGATACAGGACGTGCTTTAAACTTACCTGCCTACCTATGGGCATTTGACATTTAACATGATAAAAGCTCTGAGATGAAGAAGCTATCATAAACGTGCACAGGAGGATGAAACACTCTCAGCATCTGGGTTTGTGACAGCTAAGTAAATGCAAACAACCCAAATGTCCAATAAAACACGACGGGATTACAAATACTGTGGTACTGGGGCACCTGGGTGGCTCAGCTGGTTAAGCGGCTGACTTCAGCTCAGTCATGATCTCACAGTTAGTGAGTTCGAGCCCCGCGTCGGGCTCTGTGCTGATGGCTCGGAGCCTGGAGCCTGCTTTGGATTCTGTGTCTCCCTCTCTCTCTGCTCCTTCCCCACTTGTGCGCTGTCTCGCTCTCTCTCAAAAATAAACACTAAAAAATGTTTTGAAAAAAAAAATAGTGCAATACATTGTTCAATAGAGAACTAGAGTCAAGAAAGTGAATGAACTAGACCAGGACTTCCTAACCAGGGTGGTTTGGCCCCTGCCCCTCAGGAAACGTCGGGCAATGTCTGCAGGCCTTCTTGGTCACTGTAACAGCCTGGAGTGCTGCTGGCCTCCAGTGGGTAGAAATCAGGGGTGCTGCTAAACACCCAGGATGCATAGGACAGCCCACAACAAGTAACTACCATCGCCCCCCCTTACGTATCTGCAGGGGATACATTCCAAGATCCTAAGTGGATGTCTGAAGCCATGGACAGCACTGAAGCATACACATACTGTGCTTTTTACTACATATGAATACCTATGACAAAGTTTAATTTATAAATCAGGCACAGTAAGGGGTTAGCAACAGAAAATAACTGAATAATTTTAGCAATATACTGTAATAAAAGATGTGAATGAGCCCCTCTCTCAAAATCTTACTGTCCTGTACTCCCCCTTCTTCTTGTGATGATGTGCGATGACCCAAGGCCTAAGTGACGGGATCAAGGGGGGTGAGTGATGCAGGCATCGTGATGTAGCATGAGGCCACCGCTGACCTTCTCACAATTCACCAGAAGGAGTGTGGGGTGCTTCCAGACCACGGGAAGCAGAACCACGGCTATGGGGGGACTACCGTAAGTGGCCCCAAGTATCGAGAGAGCCACAGTTTAAAGATCTTTGTGAGACAGTCCTCAAACCACAAAATTGAGTTAAAAACCAGCAAAAACAAGGGGCCACGGGATTTACACAGTGACATCATGCAGGTGAAAGTTAAACAGAACCAAGACTGCTTATGGCTAATTGAAACGTATGTATGTAGCAAAGTATAAAAATAGGAAGGAGAAGGCTACACGCCCATTTCAGAATACGGATTATGGGGTGCCGGGGCATGAAACATTACAAAGGGGGGCTTCAAATGGAACTGGTATCATCGTGTTTATTCTACCCCCTTCCATCCAAAGAAAACCAAGCGTAGTGAAGGTTAATGCACATGTAACAGCTGGACGGCGGGTACACGGAAGCTCACTCTGGCCATCTCTGTACTCTTCTTCTACACCCCTGACACAGTCAACAACGAACAAGCTGAGGAGCAGGGTTGGGGGCCACGGAGGCTGGGCAGACAGACCGACACAGCAGGCAGGAGGGCAGGGCTGGGACCTTCCCGGGGGGGAGCACTCACCGGCCCGCGCAGGTCGATGAGCTCCTGCCTCATCTGGGACACGAGGGCTTCCTTGGCCACCAGGGCCCTGTGCAGGCGCTCGTTGAACTCAATCAGCTCGCCATGCATCTCCGCCACCTGGAACACACAAGCACCGAACGGTGAGGCTCAGAGGGCAGACTCCCCTCACCCAAGTCACCTGTCCCACCTTCTCTGGGCCTGTCACTTGTCAGCAAGGCACCAGGAGGTTGTTTGGGCTGGAGACAGAACGCCATTCACCTGTGAGTCGTGCAAATCCACCTGTAAGGTGAACACGTCTTGCACTTGGTTCATTTTAACACTACAGAATCTACGGTCGACCGTTCACGGTCAGGACGGTGCTGTTATCGGGTTATTTGGGGCCTAAGGTTTTTCTCCTTTGTGGACACTTTTCTAGCGAAGGCTTTCTTGCTCATCTGAGTTGGGCCTGCCAAAAATCACGCTGCTGATGGTACAGCTGGACTGACTGACCATTTCTGTTCCTCAGGAACTTGGTTCTGAAACCCGAGAAAATAGAACCAGAGCTCAAAGCCATGAGAACAGTAATGATGACAGACAGAACTGCAATGGCACAGCTACCCCTCAGTCACTGCTTAGTCAACGCCAGGAAATCCTTTCCACGCGCTGCTAACATCTTTGCTATGCGGGCTCTATAAGGCAGGCATTGTCATTTCTGCCTTAAAGAAGGGAAAGGCTGTCACAGAGTGGAAGAAGCTAGCTCAAGGTCATACCGCTAATGAAGGACTGACTCCAGGACCCTGGCTCCCGACCACTGGGCTACCTGCCACGATTCTACCACTTCCACCGTGCCCCATGTGCAGCCCACTTGATGGTGGCCCACGGTGAGCCCTTGAATTTTTGCACATTTATTCAATGCCCCCAGCTCACCCCAAAGACACAGAAACAGAGGTTGCCATACGGTAGTCTATGATTGATGTACAGAATCAACAACAGACCTTTCCAGCTATTTGTTTACAAAGATGTCTTCCTGTAAGGCCAAAACATAAAGTAATTTCCCTGATTACATGAGCAATCTTGACCGGGCTTAAAATCAAATTCAACTATAATTTATTTAAACTTTTTAGAGAAATGTGAGACGTCCTCTTGCCATGCTCTTCAGGAACGTTCAAAGAAGAATCTTGCAAGTATCTTAAAGAGAACCCCTCTCCAGGGCACCCAGGTGGCTCAGTCAGTTAAGTGTCCAACTTGGGCTCATGATCTCATGGTTTGTGGGTTCACCCTACACTGGGGTCTGCACTGGCGGTGTGGAGCCTGCTTGGGTTTCTCTCTCTCTCTCTCTCTCTCT